TTTTTATAAATAACTTTTTTCAATTAACAGTAGGCAAACAACTGAAATAGGCCTACTGTCAGGCCATTCATACATGTATTTATACAAGCGTACCCTTATATTTTGGCATACTTAACAGACAGTACATTTAAATTGGTATTATAATGTTATAATAGGCTACACAGTTATCATTACTTCTGCTTTGTTTGATTCAGTTTCTTGAAACAGTTTTAATTACATGGATGTATTAAGGACATTTGTTTGCTGTTGTAATGGATGCCATTCCTAAAAGTGTGATGTTATTCAAGTGCAACACAATCTTCTCCTTCACCTGATTCTGTATCTTTGAATAACACCATGGCAGGAAAAATTAGGATTTACTCCTGCCCTTCAGACAGAAGCAAAACAATCAGATCCCTCTTTCAGAAAGACATTGTCACTGTCCCATACATAATACACTACTGGAGAAAGTTTGTCCCAAATATTAAGTGGGCAAAAGTTTGGACATTGACTTCAAGATATGATTACAAACAAAACCTAGAGATGTTTGTTTGTGGATTATATTTTAAAGATTATAAACCATCCAATACCAGTTTAAGCACCTCTAAGATACAACCAGTAAAAATAAGTTTTATCTTTGCCATACAGTGGTTAAATCTAATATCTTTAAACAGAAAATGGTTTTCTGCCTCAGACTGTCAGGTCCGCTCGGTGCGACCTGCCTCTTTCTTTTTTCCTCTCCTGCTCTCCCTTTTTGCGGGATCAACGCCTCAGCTGTCGGGTAATTAGTGACTGGGTCGGTGCGCACACCTGAGGCGTATTCCAGTGATTTGTTGGCTTCCTTATTTATACCTCTGGCAGATGCTCCGTCGTCGCCGGAGTATTTGCGACGTGTAACGTACTATACTTAAAGTAAGTTATACAAAAGGTTATGTTTGACCCGCATTATTTTTTTTTATTTTTTAGACGTGTGTAAGATGCTGCGCTGACAGTCTCTGTGCGTTTTGGCTTGACCTTATCACGCTAATTATGCGGTTAGCTATGTGCTTTGTCTTCCACGCTGACAGTCCCTGTGCTGTGGATTGTATTGTTTACGTTGGTTCTTTTTGTTCACCTGTCCGTTCTCATCCTCTGCTATCCTAGTTCCTGTCGTTAGTTTGTGTGTTTACCGTCCTGGTCTCCTTGTATGGACCCTGTCATGTTGTCATTTTGTTGTTTTTATTCCATTAAACCACCTTTTTTGTACTAGCACCTGGGTCAGCCATCTTGAGTCCAACCCCAGTTCTCTCTCACCCTCCTGGTGAGGGGGACTAAACCATAACACAGACATGTCACAGTTGAATCTACAAGTGAACAATGAGCTTGTAAAATGAAAATTAAGTAAAATTCCGATAAATATATGGTCACAAGGTTTGCTTTATTGCATTTAAATGGAAAAGGTGCAGTGCAAATCTAAAGGTTCCTGCTAAGTGCATGAAAATATTCGGACATAATATGCATTGGCCAGTCAATTTCCAGGTGTCTGCTTTTTAATTTTGTCGGTTTTTACTATGCTGATACTTGTAGGAAAATACTGGAAAGAAATATTTCTGCATGTTATCCCCATCTCAGCCAAAGGTAGTGCTGTTCCAGCCCACGTTGGCTGCATCCATATCTACAAAGTTAATATAAATCCTGAAACAGACACAAAGAGAGAGTTTAATGAGACTGGACAATGAGCAAGATGTATGAAAAACATTGCTGTCTGTGTTTGTCATCATGTTATGTTTACTTGTCAGTTAATGGGCAGTGAATGTAAAAGTTGCTGTGTGAATCTGCTACCTGTCGGGAGAGATGTGCAGGTGTTTCTTGAGCAGTCCACATAGGAGTTTAGAGTACTGCTTGTTCTGAGCACCACTGATCTTTCCAATACTGTGGAGGGAGCAGAGTGCGCAGGGATCTTCCTTTCCTCCAAACATCATTGTTTGGTCAGGATTGATATGCACAGCAATGTACTGGTATATACAAAATAGAGACACAAAACTGATGTCAGTCCACAGTGGGTGACTAGTGTCAGTAGCCTAGCTGAGTTTGACAGTTAGGTTTGTAGTGAAGCTTTGTGTAAAAGCAAAGCCATTAATCCAAGTTCCCCCACTGTCAAAATAAGATACATATAAAATATTTTAATATTTATTTAGTCTACATGATAGTCCCACATTGGCCTATTAATGTTATGAAGGAATACAAAGATCCCTGATACAAACTGTACAATTGGAAGTAAAATACATTATATTACAGATAGGTTAAGCTGGAATTTTACACTTTCTGAAAGGAAGCTGTTCTGAGTCCTTTTAAAGTCTCCTTGCACTTATAATGCAGTTTGGTCAGCGTTGCCTCTCTTGGATGTTTGACCTTCACTATGCAGAATGATGTCTATTCAAAATCTGACACTATAAAGCTGCTGTCAAATATATCTGCTGAAAGTGGACAGCTTCTCTGTGCTCAACTAATGTGCGCTTGATTTGTGACAGCATGCCTGGTTTGGAAATCAATTCTGGCCCAATAGGGGATTTACACAAGTGTGATGTGGAAACCTGAAGCCTCCATTGTAAATTGAAAATGGCCTTTCAGGGGCCTTTTGACATGTGATTCACCTTATGAAAGTTAAAATAGTGGCATATTTTTAGAGCTGTGGATTTTTCAGTAAGGGTAGAGCAAATTATTGTTCAGTGAGTGGAGAGGATTTTAAAAAAATCTGTATCAGTTTATATGATGTGAAGATTTTTAACTTGCTGGTTGACTGCACTGCTGATGAATCATCAACCCATGCTAACTCTATACAAACAGGCTAACAGTCAAGAATATGGTTGCATAATTGCGTACGTAATATTCATTCAGTAGAGAATCATATCTGACTTTGGGCTGCAGTTAAATAGAAATGCTGCTGGTCGTAACGCACCCAGCAGAAAAAGCCTATCAACGTAAAATCCAAATATGAAATAATGGATGCAAAAACCCTGTAGATTGTGCAGGAATAAGCGTGCCCCGGCCTACCTGCGCAGGTTTGCCCATAGCTTTGGCCAGCTCCTCGGTGGCCTCGGACAGCAGGCCCGGCGGCACATCACTTTTGGCCACGTTGGTGGTCACAATGAACATCGGCATGATTAGCTCACAAATGTGCTTTCTTTCTTCCGTTCACAAGTCGCACACGTTACAACTTTGCTCAACCCAGCGGAAGACTAACTAAAGAGCCCTCTTCCTCTGTTGTAGACAGTCAATGGTTGGAGAGCACGCAGTCATGTGACAAAATTACCACAGCGACTCAATCCTGGAAGACACTTTAGGTGACACCCTGCTAAACGCAACGCCAACCAAGAGGAAGATATGGGGTTTTCTGTCATTATTTGATCATTCCCTTAAAATTATTGATAACCACCACTGTTGGGACCACATTATGTTGAAAGTGATGTGTTAAATCTGAGTCTACATTCTTTATGGGGTGCGGCTACTCTTGTGTCGGGTAATTACGGTACCGGGCATGCGCAGTGTAGCAAAGCATCATTAAGCAGAGCTCAAGGAGAAGAGGAAAATAGTAGCAGGGAGTGAGAGAGAGAGGGGGGCGGTAGAAGTTGGATTGTGCATTCCTTTGTCGCCGTGTTTCTGTGCTCACAGCCAACCACAGAGCTCATCTGTGATCCGTAAGATCGCACCGTCTGTCGCCGTATCACGTCTAAATTACTCCCTCGGACTTCATCTAGCAGACGGTACGTATATAAAGCTAAATTAGCCAGTGGCTAGCACGGTCACTCCAACGTTACGGAGGCTACTGCTACCCTTCTTCAACGTTACTGTATTAGTGCATGTCGATCAATAATAACTACAAGTTTACTAACAAGCTAACCTGACATGGGTTGCGTACATTTTTATTTATTACAGTACAATACTACAGTTGTTCTTTTTAAGTTAACCAACTAGTTATAGGCTATAATTAAAGAACAACAAAAAAATCGAATAACCAACATGTTACAGTGTGATTCACTGAGCCCAGTCAGTAAATGTCGAGGTGTTGTAGCTGCTGGCTGATATCAACACAAAGTTATTTTTTCTAAATGACGATGATGATTATATATATATAGGCCTGGAAATAATAAACAGTGGTTATAGCTAACAAATCCATTAGGCAATGTGAAACTCATGAGATCCAAAACTGGGTTAACTGTAATGACTGAACTATCATCAGGTCCGCTCTCATCCGCGCCCGTGGCCGAGATGATGGAGGAATCAGTGACCACATTTGAGACGCACCTGACGGCCGTCATGGACAGTCTGATCCGAGCCTCGGTCTGTGAGATCACCAAACTCTTCCAGGAGACGGTGAACGACTACCTGGTGGAGCTGTCCCTCAACAGGAAGGAAAACGAGGCTCTCAAACTGCGACTGAGGCTCACAGAGAACAAACTGAGAACCGAGCGCAAGTACGGGATGGGCTGGGCTACCAACCGCCGCAACGCCGGACTGGCGGCGGCGGAGGAAGGAGCGGGAGGGCGGCACAAACGAAAAGTTGAGGTGGCCCGTAAGTATTTCAGATGACTTTTCCTCCCGAACAAGCAGGATTACATCACATTTAGTTTGTGCCATATATAAACCTGCCATTACATCAAATAGCACCTTGCAGAAACATCCTTCATACTTCAGAATGACTGCGTTTTTAACAGAGTTCTTGCTATGCAGTCAGGACTTATGTGAAGACGCACTTGTTTTGTTGGAAACCATCTGGCAAGAGCTGATCTCTCCCTCCCTCCTCCGCCTCCTCTTCATGATGGCTCCCTCTGTCCTTCACCTCCCCCTCTCTCCTCTCTCTCTGCTGCACTCTGTCCCTCCCACTCCTCTGTGCCTTTGCACATTCCCTCCCTCCCTTCCTGCCTTCCTGCTCCTCTCCCTCCCCCACCTCCTGTCTCTCTTCAATCCTTACCTCCTCCCCCTTCCCGCTCCTCTCTCCTTCACGCCCTCTCCTCCTTTCCTTTATCCCTGCCCCCACCTCCTCTTGCTCTGTTCTCTCCTTCATCACGTTGCACACACACACACACTCTCCCCTTCCCTCCTCCATTCCACTCGACTCCTACTCCTCTCCACCACCACCATAATTACACACTCCACTTCTCTCTCTCTCTGTCTCTTGTCTTCAACTCTTCATTCTCCTCCCCTGCCTCCCCAACTCTTCTCCCTCTCTCCCTCTTCTTTTCCTCTCTCACTCCTTTCCTCTCTGTCACGTGTTTTCCTCTCCTTCCTGCACTACGCCCCTTTCTCCTCACTTGTTCATCATGCTGCCCTGCTCCCTTCCCTCCAACCTCCTTTCTACTCCTTTGCGCTTGTGGCTCTCCCTCCCTCCCTCCACTTCCTCCTCCTCATCTCTCACGCCTCTACCCTCTTCTCTCCTTCGTCTCTATCTCCTGGCCTTCTGATCATCTCCTCCCACTTATCTCTCTTCCTCCAATAAATCATTCTCTCTCCTTCCTGTTTCCCTGTGTCCTACCTCTCCATCCCCTCTCCCCCCTCAACATTCTCCTTCCTCTCTCACCTTCCTCCCACCCTTTCTTCATCTCTATCTCTCCTCTCCACAGGAGTCAATTCAAAGAAGGGCCCGACAGCAGCCTATGGCAAAGGCTGGCCTGGAGGTGTGTGGGAGGATGGAGGAGGTGGCAGTGGCGGTGGTTGTCTGGGAGGAGGAGGCACTGTGGGGATGGTAGCAGGAGCAGGAGGAAGAGGGGGGAAGGAGTCCAGGGAGATGTACCTCATTCAGTTCCCCGGGGATGAAGCGGATGAGGGAGGAATGGCGGAAGACGAGGAAGGGGAGGGCAGCCTCAGCGGTGAGGGAGAGGAGACAGCTGACATCAAAGAGGAGGTGAGGGAGACAGGCTTTCTCGGAGGAGGAGGAGAAAGTGGCACAGCATCTCTGCACCACTCAGCAGCTTCTTCTTAAAAAGAGAAAGAATATAGAAAATGATAAATTACAGAGAGTTTTGTGTTTTTCACTCTTCAAGTCACTGCAGAAATTTGTTGGGTAAAGAGAAGGCTATCGTTATGATGTTTAGCCTTCAGAGGAGCCCACTGAGTATAGCTCTCCACCTCTCAAGTACAGCAAGCTTCACAGTAGAAATACTATTGGTAGAGGCAAAAAGCTGTTTGTTATTCCATGACATGGCCAAGTTACAGGGCACAGATCCACTCTTCACATTTTCTTCTGTATTTGAATATGCAAAGCATGCAGAATGTGTTATCCATTTCCATGGAAAGTGTTTTGATGGCTGATAAAATGGTGTTAAAAAATATAACTAATTATATACTGTAGATTTATTCTTGAGTGCTTCAGAAACATTTACAAATTTATAAATGGTATATTCTACATGTTTTCAGTTGTTTGTCTTATAACTCTGTGCTTCTGATTGCAGTTTTCACAAACAGAGGGCTATCAACCTGCCTCTCTCCGCCTAATCAAGGAGGCTTTGAAAATGGATCTGTCCAACCAGAACCTCCACAGTGGCTCCAGAGCCCAAAGTGAAGGTAATGAGCCCAGGATACGATGACTGAGGGAGGGGACATTAGTGAAATGTTCAGAGACCAGCAGCCTGAAAGAAAGTGGAAATGAGTGCTCATGCCTTGTTTCTCCTCCTCCCTCTGTCTCTGTTCAGGCAACTTGTCAGATTGTCCACCATCACTTCATCCAGGAACGAGAGAGGAAGACTGGGAGGTGGGCTCAGCAGAGCCATCACAGGGGGGCATGACCATAGATGAGCTGAGGGGTTTGGAGTCTGCACTGAGAGCTGAGCGAGGCCGCGAGCAAGCTGCCATGACAGCTTCCCAGCCTGCCAGCTCTGACTCAGAGGTGGTGCGAAGCAGCAAGGTCCCCAAGTACATAGGTCTTGATGGGATGGAGCAAGATGGAGAGCTGGAGCCTCAGCCACCAACCCTACAGAGAGAGGACCAGATAGGGCAGGGCAGGGTAAAGGATGGTGTGAGACCTGGAGTAGTTGGGGGAGTGGAGCTGAGGTTGGGCTGGTCAAAGAAGCAGAGAGAGGGCGACTCAGGTGCGGTAATGACTGGCGAGGATGTGGTGGAGCAGGGAGAGTCAGAGCGTGTGCCCCACCTATCAGCTCCAGGAAGTGTGGAGAGTGGAGGGGAAGAAGAGGGTGGCAGGGATCTGCTCCACTTTTGCCCACAATGTGGAGGAGGCTTCACTTTGGAGGCTGAGCTCGAGGAGCACCCCTGTCCACTAGGAGGAGCTCATTTGCCGAGCAGTGGAGCAGAGGACAGTCTTTTTCCGTGTGCCCACTGTGGCAACACATTCAGCCACGCCTGGGCTCTGAAAAACCACGAATGTGCCTGTGCTGCAGAGCGGCCGCACTGCTGCGAGATCTGCGGGAAGCGCTTCACACACTCACGTTCGCTGGAACGGCATCATCTGGTGCACACAGGTGAGAGGCCGCACCGGTGCCCGCAGTGTGGACGCAGCTTCAGTCGTCTCGGCAACTTGGAACGGCACCAGCGGATCCACACAGGTGAACGGCCGTACGGGTGTGAAGCCTGTGGAAAACGTTTCAGCCGGGTGGAGTACCTAAAGAGACACCAACTCATACACAACAGTGAAAAGGCAGCACTCCAGTGCTCTAACTGTGGAAGGGGCTTTAGTGATGTGGAGCAACTGAAAAACCACCAGTGTTTTTAGAGCCTTTCTTCACATCTCTGATAGGACTGCAACGAAAGAGCTGTTTTCAATAGAATGTGATAGAATTTAGGTCAATAATGCAACTGGTAGATTCTGTGTGTGTCGTGTGGATGAATTTTGTAATAAAGTAAATGAATGCACATGGTCAAAGAGGACAAGGGAACAACTGTAGGTGGTGTTTCGCTGTAGGAGGGGAAATAAGTCGGTCTCAGACATTAAGCTGTTTTAATATGAAGTGTTCTCATTTGTACTGTATGAACACTTGTACTTATTTATGATAATAAACAAATTGTACATTTTATCTTTTTATCAGTAATTCACTCATGTTAAAGCTGATGGCCTTGGTTGTCTTTGACGGTACAACTGACAGCTTGGTGTTTTATATGTTTGAGTTTTCATTATGTCATTAATAAAATATTTCAATTCATCAGAAGACCCTTCACTTTTCAGTCTTGTTTTATCGGGAATCTGACATTTTTGCCAGTCAGTCTACACACAGTAACCCGTTGCAGCAACATGAAAACATCTTTTAGAACATTTTTACATATTTATAAAAAAAAATTTAAACTTTACAAAAGTATTCAGACCCCTGACTTGGAGTCTGTGAAAACGTTGGCTAATTTTTTATGACCGGAAGGTGAAGACAGGTTAATGTGTAGTAACTTAATCAATAATCAAGTGAAAAGGCTTAAGAAGCTGTTCTTGAAGAACTTTAACAAATAACAAAAGCATTTTTATGTATGTGCTAAGCTTGGGCGTGACTGTGTTACTCTGTTGACTGCAATGATGATATTATGACTGTTATAATAAGTAAATATCTGTAGATTGCATTCGGTCCTGCTTGAATCCCTGAATGATTTATGGTCATGTGAAGTATGAGTGTCACAAAGTAACAGCATCCAGTAAGCATTGTGCCATTTGCCTGGTGCAGGATGAGCTGAGTACACTGTTTGCATCATGCAACCATTTAATTTGGATATTTTCATTTGTATGACCAAAAGTAGAACTTATTTATAATGTTGAATAAAATGAAATTATTTAAACCAATGGTGTATATGTTCCAAAAATAAAATCTGCAGGCTTGTCACCCATTTCATTCTTGTTTTATTAGTAAAATCATGGTTAATCAAACACACATTAGGAAGAGGAAGAACTAGTTTTCTTGACTTCTTTAATCTGTTGACATTCTGAGGAGATATGCTGCATGTGGTGACTACTGCAATGCACACACATAGCAGCTAACAAATGATTTCAACAAGGAACTGAAGTTGTTCCTGTTTGTTATTGACACTGGTTGTGAAATAGATGGATGGGCATGCCTAGCCTTTGGCTCAGGATACCCTCCAGAGCCTCTAAAGACATCCGCCTCACATCATAGCCCCTCACAGAGGCCCTTGCCTTCATGTTAACAGGCACAATCTCCTCTCCACTGTTGCGGTCATTTCTTCCAACTGCAGCATATGTGGGGAAAAACGGCTTCACCGACTTAGGAATGCTGGCGTTGTAAGATGGGCAGCAGTAGGCAGACCACATGTACTCAGGAACAGACACCCTGTTATTGATCCAGTGTGCTCCAGACTCATATGGCATGGCCCCGGTGATCACATACATTGGCCCTTTGCAGAAGGCCTTGAATTTTCTCAGTACCTCATTCTCCAGATTGGTCCAGGGGCCCGAGTTGGAGCCTACCTGCTGAGGTACAGTGTTAGTCAGAGTGAAGGTGGCCTCTCTGTCTTCTTTTGTCTTCTGGTGCAGGCTGGGATTGAGATGGCCCCTGCTGTACTTGGAATTCTTGTAATCCTGATGCACTGCCTGGCTCTCAATCACATTCTGGTCGATGACGGTATTGAAGGGTTCCATCTCTGAGCTGGCACGGGAAAACGCCAACTGAAAGAAAGAGAAAGAGAAAGACTTGTCATTGTAAAAAGGTGAATAGCAACATCTGTGTACTGTAAATCTGTGTTCATATTGTATAAGTAGTCGTGTGATGGATTCAGTCTTACAGAAGGTGAGATAAAAATTTAAAATAAGCATGAAATGCAACTTCCCCTTTTTATTACCTCATCAGAAAGATAATGTATATAGCACTATGTTTGTATGTACAATTTGAAGAGGGTTCTTATATGTCTGCTTGAAGTTTTTGAAAAAAGCCTTAAAACACACTGACCACAATGACACTTGAATTAAACAAACCAGTGTTCTCGTCACCTCTCCACTGTAGCCTTAAAATTTTGTGTATTTCCGGGTATAGATTGTATGTTTAAACACAACTGTACATTTTCACATTAAAGCCTTGAAACACTCACTAAATTCACTGAGCTGAACAAAGTGATGCTGTCTTAACAAATAAAAAGCCTTGCTTTACTTTGCTATTGTCAGAACTAGTTTTTCACCAATAATCTATAATATAATCACAACATAAACATATCTAAACGCATCATATCTGGTGCTCAACAGAGTACAAACAGTCTTTAAAAGAAGTCTTTCTACTCACCTGTGGTTCATACTTCCAAGTGGCATTGGGCCGTTTGCCATCCGCAGGGCTGAGTATGTACGCGGAATACAGTGGTGCACGACTGTGACGGTGATACAGGCTGGCAAAGCGGTACTGATTTTTGTAGCGCTGACATATTGACTCGTATCCTGCTGGGCTGACACCCGTTGGTGGAGTTTTATTATAGAAAAAATCAAGACAGTTTGAAAAGTCGTTGTTGACCTCCCCAAGTACCAGGCCGCCAAACCAGGGCAGGAGAAGAAGCAGAGCTCCCCTGAAGAAATGCAGCGTTCTTCTTTGAGACATCATCCACAGACAGAGCAACAGACTGTATGTAAATTTGCTGGAAAGACACCAGGCTTTTGTTGACAGACTTCCTCTCAGACAAAACTCCCTGCAAAGTTAAATGAAATCTATATTTCAGTTGTGCCAATTCAGCGTCTGGGGTACGGCTGCTTGTAAGCTATAGGTTTCCTCTTATATATACTGACAGCAGGAACCCAGTGGACAACATTTTTAACCCACTCCCAACCCCCATTGACCATCAAACTTCCCCTGCTAATCATCAGTCAGGTTGCCTTTTGGGAAATGATTGCTCTGCATATAGTTTTTTAATCAGTTGGTTGAGGTAGAAACCAGGCAGTTTCAAGTCTGTAGCACAGAACATTATCATGGCACATGTGTATGTCTGCTGACTCACAATGAGAACATTTGTGCTGAAAAGAACAAAAAACCTGTGGTAAATGTTAGAGGAACTGATAACGCAGTTTCCGGTGGCTGTATGTGTGACTGTAGGGTACATGTTGTACCCTACAGGAGCTGCAGCATTTTCCTGCACAGCGTGTGTCCCCATCTTCTGCACACCTTTTCTAAAAAAAAAAAAAAAAAGAAGACGCCTCATGAGAGACTTAGAGGTGCAGAAAAAGGGCTCTGCTGACAGATGCTTATATGACAACAGTACTTTTGTATATGGTACTGTCTCCAGCAATCTGAAATGTTTACTGACAACAATTTGTTCATTGACATCATTACAGAAACATGCTGAGTATGACAGCTCTCTTTATTTCATGTTCTCTCTCTCTCTCTCTCTCTCTCTCTCTCTCTCTCCAGTTCCTTATGTGATCTTGTACTCCTTGTCTCACCGAAACTTCCCCTGTTGTGGGAACCCAAAAACGTTTCTGAAAGATATACTGTACATAGTACTTCCATTATTTCCCAACTGTCATTTTACAAAAGGTCTGTGGCTTCTATTTTGTCATAACTGTTAATGGGAAGATCCTTTGTTTCAGTCGTTTTGCTCCAGTTTGTCAAAAAGAAAAATTTTCTGCATTAGGAATCGTTAGATAAAGGTGGTAGATCTGAGGGAAAACAGTGTGACGCACATACAGACAAAGACCGTGAGGTACTTAAAGTACTGATGACTGACCTATAGCACCAACACTTGAAAAGGGGGGGGGGATTTTATTAATAAAAATATCATATTGGTACTGAAACCAATGATCCAGGCTGTGATATAATTTTTTAGGCTAGACCCAAATTTTATTGTATCACCATCCTCGATGTCCTGTTTTCACCTTGTTGTTTGGGTTATTTGAGGCACATAAGACTATGCCTCACCCCCTTAACCTAAATTGGCCCCATCTGGTTTGTTCTGACTTCATCTTGTGAGTGAATGAGGTCATTTTAGCATAAAAATCCTACTGAATGGAAGGCCAAGCTTAATAAACCCCTGATGTCTTGAAAACAAGATATTTATTCATTCATTTGTGGTTTGTGAATGTTGATTAGTTTTTATTGAAACTCTCACAAGTGGGTTATTCTAAATTTTCACTACACTACTAATGATCATTTCTGGAGACATTTAATACATAAATTCATAGCAAAAAAGAATAATCAGCAAAACTTAAAAAAAAAAACTACAACATTTGGTCCTGAAGTTGTTGCCTGAGGAGAAATTTCACAATTTGATAAGGGGTAAAAGGAGCATTAACTGTATGAATCTTGAAGTTTATCTCAGAGATGCCAGTGATAGCCTGTACATTAGGGCCAGCTAGTGAGCACTCTGAGACATGACACTTGGCTGAGACATAACACTTGGCTGAGACATGACACAGAAATAAACATGGTCAGGTGACTGAAACTGGTTGGACTGTAAATAATAACGCTGCATTTACAGTCACTGGTGATGAGTTGTAACCTGCATGATGACCAGGAATGACCAAAGTTGTGGTTTAGAGAAGCCTTAGTGACTTGCCCATGTATGCCGTTGGCTCTTCTTCTTCCTTTGGTTGTGTTTCTGACTCAGAGGTCACAGGGTGTGTTTTGGAATTTACATTGTACTGACTCACTTACCTGCTGAAATAAGTTTACACTACACTCAATCAGAATTCTTGAGACTTAAAGTTTGTGTATGTGCTCTCTAATGCGCACTTACAACAGATTTATGATAATAAATGTAGTCTATTTTCATAAATAGCAAAGACTTACAAGCAGACTTATAAACAGACAGCTTAATGACACTATAAAATACAAATAAAGAGAAAACTAATCCTAAATGTAATTTTTTCAGTCAGTCAAAGCAATTAGTCACTTCCAAAAAAAATGGCTATGGGGAACAAGCAACATAATAATTATATTATATTATATTATATTATATTATATTATATTATATTATATTATATTATATTATATTATTGGCCTAAAACATTGTAATTTAAGGTAATGTTATGCTGTGTAATAGCTACATTAGCATGATAGTCTGTCACTATGCCTAAACAGCTGGTTCCACCTTTTAATGTCTCATTTTCCACAGCATTTGAAGCTGTGGAAGCTAAAACAAAGAGTTGTGGGAAAACTCACTGGTTTGATTTGATTTTCTATATGATTAATTTCCCTTTTCTATAATTTTTTTAAGTAAAGCAACAGTGTTCCTGATGTGGACATATAATTATTCCTTATTAAGATAATACACAAAGAAATAACATTTCAATAGATTACCACTTTCTAATAGATCCTTCTTCATAAAGTGTGTATAAATCGTGGTCAGTGAGTTTATTAATGGTTGTGCTGTTAATGGCTGCTTGTGGACTGTAGGTTGTGGCTGGTGCTGATCCTCCTGCAGCACGACACCTCTTCTTTTCTGTATCTTTTTCATTCATTAGGAGCATTCTTCCAATGCTTTGCTTTATTGGAGGGATTAGTTTGGCAACCCCAAAGCTGTACTTTCTGTTGACTTAATAAAGTAACATTATAACTGACCGTTTTTCTTTATGGTTTCTCTTGTTCTGGATAAGGCTGTTTGGCTCCAGGCGCACACCGAACCTTTTGACGAGCTGTTTCTCTGTCGTGATACATCAATCAGCCACAGACCACTCCCTCTCTCAGTCTGAACGGAAGAGCAGCAGTTTTATTTGCCACAATGTTGCTGTCAGGGTTTTCTTCTCAGGGCTTGTGCACAGCCGAGAATGGCGGAGGCCAGCGCGCTTGAGGAGCTCCAGTCGGAGCTCACCTGTCCGGTGTGCTTGGAGCTGTTCCACGATCCCGTTATTCTCGAGTGCGGACACCATTTCTGCCAGGTCTGCATCATCCAGTGCTGGGAAGTCAAAGCGGACGAGTTGTCGAGTTGTCCAAAGTGTAGAAAGTCGTGCGCCCGCAAACTGCGGCCCAACTCGCTTCTGTGCAACGTTGTGGATAGTGTGCGCAGAGCCCGGGCCATGGACCCTGCCGCTGGGATAACCAGATGGGACCTGGACCCGATGGAGAATCCGGAAGAACAGGACACTGGATTCAGCATGAGTAGTGTAGCGTCGTCCGTCGGGCACTGGCTGCATCTGGGTATGGATATGTGCGAGGAGCATAGGGAGAAACTGAAGCTTTACTGTGAGGACGACCAGCTCCCCATCTGCCTGGTGTGCGGCATGTCCAGAGACCACAAGACCCACAATATCATCCCTATTACTGAGGCTTTTGAAAACTATAAGGTACCTACTAAAATACTGTACCTACTAAATAATTTTTTGCCCCAAAATCTCAGGCTACGTCTGCAGCCACCAACATCATAAATAACTGCTCTAGTAGCAATGATAAGGACAATCTGATCATTTAGTAGAAGCTATGGATCAAGATAAAGCCCTGTTTTGCTAAACTATTTAATTAATTCCTATTAGATATTTGGTCTAGGTTATATTGGAACTACAAGATAAAGTTTGAACTTTGATTAACTTCGACCAAGTGCCATACTCCACCATGCTCATCTGAGACTTCTCTCTTTCTCATTATGCATCTGAAATTTAACAAATGTTCCCAAAAGTCAAATCAAACCTACTTTATTAAAATCATTTTTATTAAAAGCAAATCTGCTGTGGTTTTAATAAACAGCGCAGAGGCTGTGACATGCAAGTTATTTGTAAAAGACTCCCTGTTTGCCCTGGAAGCCTTTGGGTACGTTGTGTTTTACAGGAATTCAGCGGGTCACTGTGAGCTCTCCTAACACCCTTATACATTAACCTCACAGCTTACCACCACCAGTTTATTTGGAGACTCACTTATGGAGGCATCAACATGTTTGACTAGTGCTGAATTCCCATTTTGTTGAATTTGTGGGTCAGAGTTTTTGGCTGGGAAAGTGTGGGCACCAAATGACATTTATTGGTGAGGATGCTTGTTGTTCTACATGAGGCACCAATCAAATGAACTCCATCTTCAAGTACAATCTAGTTTACCAGCAGCACTTTTAAAGATGTTTTGCATGTAATTGTCAGTTTCTTCTGCCTCCCAACAGGACAAGCTGTCTGTTGCTCTAGAGAGGGTTCAACTACAGACTAAGGAGGCCATGCTCTTCCAAAGACAGACCACTGAAAAGATCCTTCTCGTTAAGGTATCAAGGTGTGTGTGTGTGTGTGTATCTGTGTGTGGGGGTGTTTGTTAGTGAAGCATTGTGGAAGAAAGAAAATCCTTATTGTAAATCTAGCAAAAAAGAGAAAACAACTTGTGTATCTCATAGAACCAGACATTCTGGCAGCTAACATTCTCCATCATCACCTGTGTGAAAGGCATGAGTTACAAACGACTTTCCTGGTGGGGACACAACACGTTGTTACTGAGCTGTCTCATGCTTTGTAAATACAGAAGTCCTTTCTGCAATGACATAGGCGGTTACCTTCATTCAGGTTGTGTCATGTTTGTCTTTCTCACAGTCACGTGTATCACACCCAGATGCCCAGAATGTACTAATATATACGCAAGGCTGTATTTTACACAGCCTGACAGAAAGAGATAAGAGCAGACAACCATGGCTGTGTTGCTGTACTGTTAACCTCAAATAGACGTGTCTGTTTGTGTATTAAGCTGAGATACAAGCACAGCGTGGAGTGTTTCTGCAGCTGCACATAACTAAACATATCTGTGCACCTTCCCATTACAAGCTGTCTTTTCCTATCCTGTCTGTCTGAATGTCTGAGCATGTCTATTTTCTTGTCTGTCTGTTTCACCCAGCTTATGTGCACAGTCATGTGTTTTCCCTTCTCTGTTTCTCTGTCAGTATGACAGGATGTGCGTGAGCAAGGTTGAGAGGAAGTTTGTTAATCTGTCCTTTCCTGGAAATTTCTCTTTCTCTGTGTGTAAAATCAAACATCTGTCAAATCTGTAGGAATGGTACATGGACTATAATATTTAGACATAGACATGATGAAATTAGTAATGTGGTCAGTTATTGGTTTTAGAAACAAACCTCAGGTTGTTAAATTAAGGGAAAATACACCATTTGTGTGTATCTCAGTACTTTTATGTGAATAATAATAAAAAGAAAAGAAAAGAAAGGTGTAACCTGTAGTGATATATCTACAATAGACAATCAAATCATGTTTTAAAACCCACTAAGCACCAAAGAGTAGTCGGACAAAGTTAGCGTCTAGCTGTTGAATGTAGCATTCAGCTGTTAAAGAGTCAGATATTTCCCTCAGGAGTTACTGGAGACTTAAGCTTTTGACTCTTTCTTACTTTATTCGTTGCCTGAACATTTACACAGAGTTTCAGCGAAACCATGTTTTACAGAAATACCTTAGTATTTCTGTAAAACACATGAGCAAATGTTTTCAGTTTAAATTTTTATTGCCAAAAAATGTGCTTGCTTTGCTTTGGATCTGAAAAAGCAGGACAACTATTCACAGAGCACTTGCTCTCACTGATCCCCGGGTTTCAGGAGCGGGCAGGAGATGTGGAGGAGCTGGTCTCTGCAGAGTTCGGCCGTCTGAGAGAGTTCCTACTTGAGGAGGAGGAGTGCATAAAGAAGAAACTGCAGAAGCAGAAAGAGGAGAAGCTCAGCCAGCTGGAGGAGGCGCTCACTCGAGCAACAGAGCAGCTCAGCCAATTGGAATGCACGGCCGAGCAGCTTCGACTCAAACTGAAGGAAGAAGAAAACCCAGAGCAGCTCAAGGTAAGAAAGAAGTGGGAGGACTGAAAAACATTTGTATGGAAAAAAAAAACCAGCTGATGAATACAAAAGTATTTTGCAATCACGGGCCTGTTCTAATTTGCTCTTTTACAGGGAATCAGAGATTTCATTGGAGAGTGAGTATCATCTTGATCAAGATCATTCAACACCTGTGGTTTCTCACTGAGTTACTCTTTCATTGCTCTTCTGTGTCTACATGACTCTTGTCCTAAATCAGTCTACATCACAAGGAAATGATGTTTTATTTTGTAATTAACTGTAACTCGCTGAAATAGGGTGTGGTGGCATGACTGTGATTTAGCAACTGTGTCACACATTGTCATGCCATCTAGCAGTCACTAGGTTTTGTTTTACTTTGTTGCTTGAAACTTGTGAACGGACTGTGAGCAAATGTAAACTCGAATGTAAAATCAGTTTTCTTCTAATTTGCATCCACAAACGCACCCACATAGAACGATGGTCATTCACAAAAATAGGGAGGACTTCTTTACTACTTCCTTTTTACCAGTTGTAGGCTTTAATTTACTCTCTGTTGTCTCTCAGGACTGAGAGCTTCTTTGAGCGCTTCCCAGAGGTGAGTGTGGATCTGCAGTCAGGGGAGTTTCTGGGACCTCTGCAGTACAGAACCTGGAGGAAAATGAGCTCCATTCTTCAACCAGGTATTGAATTTGATATTGTCTAATCTTCCATGAAACTGGGGGGATTATGAGAGGCAAGTTAAAAAATAACAGTCACAACCAAAGAAGCAGAAGCCGACATCCTGACTTTTAGACCCCAATAGTGGTTAAGCTCCCAAAACTTTTTGTTTCACCTCCCTGACTGCTTTACACCCACAACAAGCTTCTGTTAAAAACCCAACCCAAAGTTTAGATACCACTTGGAGTTGCTGGAATACTTTTCTCAGACTTTAAACCTTCTCCAGAGCCAGCGAGGATTTTAAACAGCTCTTTTCACAGGCTGTGTGTAGGCCATAGCCAGGATTTTTGAAATGCTGAGCTCATTATTCCAAGTCTTCAAAATGCAGCTCAAACCCCAGAGAATTTCTGGCCACTCCCAAAATGATGCTGTCCAAAAGACATTTTAACTATTTGGATTTCAAACTTTTAAATTTGTTTTTAAAATATTTCTAAACATAAAAGTTTATATTATGGTTTGCTACAAAACCAAGAATCATATTCTAGCGTGGAAATATAATCTTTCAGTTAAAGAATGCAAATTATTATAAGGTCAAAATTTTACTTTATTATCAGTTCTTATCATCCTGCAACACTCTACAAAGACATGTCTGTTCTTTGTATTTAAGTCTAATACCAACCTGCTCTACTTAGAAGAGTTAGAAGACTGAATTTCTCAGGTGATTGCAACCTTGGGCTGAAGTCAGGTGTTGTTTTGGGAATTTGCCATTGACATGCTATTATTGTTATTAACTCTAACACTAGACAGTAGGATTGGATTAAATTAATATCTGGATGTATATCACATTTTGATTTGAAAATACGATTTATATTTATTCTGTATCCATATAGCGTAGCTTGTTTTCCACTAATTGAGCATGTAGGCGTTCAGTATCTTGTTGCAGACCACTGCCTGTCTTTCGCAGGTCATTCACTCCAAAACACACCTTTTCTCCGATTTGAACTCTTTTTATCATCCCCCAGCTGTCACAGCAGTGACCCTCGACCCAGACACGGCCTATCCCTGTTTGTGGGTTTCTCCGTGTCGCACCAGCGTCCGGATGGGGAAAATCCAGCCCGACCTACCCAACAACCCGGAGCGCTTCACCCGCTACAACATCGTCCTGGGCTCTGAAGCTTTCTCCTCTGGCAGACACTACTGGGAGGTAGAGGTGGGCTCCAAGACAGCGTGGGGTCTGGGTGTGGCCGCAGCCTCCGTCAACAGAAAGGAGGAGATCAGCCTCTGCCCGGAAGATGGTTTCTGGACCCTGGTGATGAGGGACAATGGCAACGGCACCAGTGAGTATGAAGCTTGCACCGACTCAGTGGACAGCTTGTTATATCCCTCCAAACCCCCCAGGAGGGTGGGGATCTATCTGGACTATGGTCGTGGTGAAGTGGCCTTTTATGATGCAGGAGACATGAACCACCTCTTCACCTTCAATGATGCGAAATTCAAAGAGCCTGTTTTCCCGTATTTCAATCCCTGGCCGATTATCAACGGATGCAACCGGGAGCCACTCACCATAGTAACGCCACACTGGAGATAGTTGTTATTGTTAACAAATCCCACAAAAAGATCAACACTCACACTTTGTCCTACTAATGTGTACATTCTGTGTAACCAAAGCCTGTTATACCTTATTCCTTTGTTCAGTAAACCTTCACTGATGTTCAGAAACTAAACAGACAGGAGCTAGTGTTGCTCTGGCTGACATGTTCCTTCATTATGATGAACATAGGCACTGTAGTTTATTTTGAGTCCATCCCACATACAATGCCATGCTGCCAGTAACACTAGTTCTGGATCACCAAATGCTTATTAACCGGGACCTGAAAATAGTCCCAAACAAATGCTCAATTTCCTCCTGGTAACATTTAGTAACAATTACAGTGAAGCATTATATTTGTATGGCTTTTAAAGATTTACATGTTCAGTAGAAGTGAGTGAGGTTGGGTCTATGAGTCGAGTACTGAGAGACGGACTGACACATTGTTGGTTTTGGTCTTTCCATAGGGTTTGTTGACAGTAAGAAAAATGCAGATGGAATTTGTATTTGTTCTGAATTCACTGGGAATGAGGGTAAAGCATATTGCTTGCTAAAATATAATCATATGGTAGAGTCTTGGCAGAAAGGTTTAAAATTGTATTAATCAGTTTTGATGCAATATCATACTGTGTCTTTTAAAACATCTAACAATATGAGCACATTACATTTGACTGTTTTCATATATATCCTGTCATGATATTGTAATAACATGTAAAACACTGATGTGTGTAACAGATTTAAGTATTAATAGCTTCTGCATGGACACTTCTCACCATGACATTTATCCAACACTACTTTTCTAAAGTGTAAATGACATCTTTTGCAGATTGGGATCAGAGTAGACACCGTCTACATATTTGGCATGAGAGTTTAATAACACTTTCAGTTGTTGATACATTTTATTCCACCAGAGGGCGCCCAAGATGAACTCTGAGTGCAGCATCACTCTGCCCTTCAGTGGTCTTTATAATACAACACTGAGCTTTCATGAGCCATACAGAGTCCAGCCTCCGCCAGCAGCAGCACACACACAGCTTTTAGGAAAAGGTTCATCTCAGAAAGTAATGAAGGGTTATTCATCATTTGATACCAGGGTTTCCAGTAAAGTCAAGCCCATTATATTATTATATAGCTCAATATCACAAATCACAAATTTGACTCAAGGGGTGTTACAATCTAGATAATGTTTTATATAAAAGGAGGAGAAATCTACAGCAACAGAAAATGTGTACTGAGCTAGGTGAACTGGAACTTTGTTATCAGTTTGTCACACTACAATACAGGAACCTCACATTACCGGCATAGAGCTGAAGTAACACCCTGTTTCACTCAAGATAAACAGTCTAAAATAAGAATGTGCAATCAAATAGGAAAGGGAATAGGACAAAAGAGCCACACCCTGTGCTAGAAGGGCTTTCAGATTGATATATGCAATGGTTACATTTACAAGTTTCAATAATCATTTGATTAGGTTGCTTTGGTGTTTACATGTCACAGATAGTTAAAAAGGGGTTAAAGGGTTCCCTCGTGCCACTTGAGCAATTTGATCTTCTGTGACTACTGTTATGAACAAATATGAAATGAGAAGTTTGACGCAAATAAAACAGATCTGTTATTCATTTTAGCTAAATGTCTGAGCATCATCTGCCTATACATTAATTGATCTGGAATTTGATATTTTTGCAGTGTCATGTAATGCAAGCCTTCACAGCTGCCACTCCCCCTGTCAGTCAGCCCTTTCTTTGACCTATTTCAGGAAGTGTCAGGGTGAAAGGTACAGAAGTTCAGCTAAGAGTCACATATTTACTCTTTCTCCCTGAAAGTTTTGTTTCCATTCCTAATCTTGTTTGTCTACCCATCATCCTTCAGTTGTCAGAAAACTGATGTGCCCAAAATACAACCCCTATTTTTAACCCTTACTTTGTGCACCTTAGCTTTTGCCTCTGTCCTCCATCAATAATCGATGAGGAGAAGGACGGCAACAGGCTGAAGAAAGACAGGGTGGCAATTGAAAGATGTGTGTCATGTAAATAATAGAAACCTCAATAGAAATAGAGTTAAATAAGTCTGGAGACTATATTGGGGTTTCACTTTGAGAGGGAAATATTTAATGAGTTAACAGGAGATTCAGGAAAAGCAGGAGAGAGATTGGGGGGAGATTTTAGGGGAAGGAAAGTGAAATGTTTCATCCTCCTAAGGCTACCAACATCACTGTTTTCTACTGGAAGGAGGGGGAGAGGGGTAAACAAGTTAATGGGTCGCTAATAAAATCTGTTGCTTCAGACAAAAGCGGCAGAGCTATACAGTTGTTTTAGAAAGCCAAAAAGCCCAGTAATGTGTTTATACATTTGTGTGAGGGATGACATGTTCACAGATCTGTGTGTGTGTGTGTGTGTGTGCTCAGCTCCAATTTGTGGATAAGAAACAGGAAAACACCGAGGCGGTGTGTTACAGAGCAACAAAAGTCTCTCATCATCACATACTGTAGCTGCTGAGTTTGCTGTACGCCTCCCTTTTTTGTCTCCCTCCGTGTCACTAAATGAATGACTGACCTGGGCACCTCCAAACAAAAAAAAAATCCAATTTGTGTTACAACAAAGGCTCCAAATATAAGAGAGAGAGGACAGGGGATTGAGGGCAGATGGATTGGAAGAGACAGGGAAAAGGAGAAACATGGAGAGCAGCAAGGATTATTGTCAGAGGCAAATGATGGTGATGAGACAGAGGTGAGGGCAATTCTGAGAAAAAAACAGAAGGAAGTAGAGTGAAATTGGAAAAGGGGGAAGAAGAGAAGGAAAGATTGATGTGGCACAGGTAGATACCGCAAGAGCGGTGAAGTTTAGGAGGTATAGAGTGTCACCTGAAGGACTGAGAGATAGCGACTAGGGGCAGAGGTGCAGGAACTCAATCCCAGAGCTAAGACAACAGCTGATGATAAAAACCTCCTCACCTGCACACACCATGGACAGAGATATGGACAGAAGCACAGCGCAACACTGAGGAACAACTGGAGGAAATACTAGGACAGAGAGAAGGAAGAAAGAAACAGGAGAACATTTGAGTGATTATTTTTCCTGGAATCTCTTCATTCATTCATTCATTCATTCATTGTCTTTTGTTTTTTTTAAAAACCGATAACAAAAAAAAAGACTTCCACTGCAACAAAGGAGCAATTTTTAACGGTTTTTTAAAAGAAACCAAAAGCTCTAATTATCTCTTTAGCTGTGCCTGTGAGGAATTTTTGCACATAAAATAAAAGACAAATACTGCAAAAGAGAGAAGAACAGCGAAGAGAGAACGTGAGGGAGGGGGAGGGCGAGTGAGGAAGAGAGAGAGAGAGAGTGTGTAACAACGAGATGTTCATGATCATTCGAGAGCCACCCGTCGGAGGAGGCAATGCAGCAATGAGCGTGCCACAGGAGAGGACGGCTAAACAGGTGTGTGTGTAGGAGTGTCTCTGTCTCTCTCGATGCATAGGCAGTATACTGTGTATGGATGTATATACTGTCTATGCGTGTGTGCAAAGTATTTAAATCTATGTCAGGCTGCCTTTTCTATATGAGCACATTTCCTAATGCTTTTCTGTGTTCATATGTGCAACTTTATGCATGCAAAGATACACGTGCATTCATTTCATGCATGACTTTATGCTCCGCTAAACTCAATTTAAAAATGTGATGCTTTAAAAATGATTTTAATCCAATAAAAAGTCTGACTGTCTTTTTGACATTTTCATGCTTTCATTTATTAACATTTATAGTAAAATGATGTAGATTAGTAAATTATTAGTATACTTTATATAGAACCTGTAATAAAGTGCTTCTAAATCAAAGACAAAAAGACTATCCCAAATGTTTTATGTACATGTTTTTACTGACAGATTACCAAACAGACAAATACTGAAACATGCAACTGATATTAAGTTGTCTCAGCTACTTGTCACCATATTTTGCATGTGTACACTACTAAATGTGTCAAAAATAAGGTGTGTGCAAGACTTGTTGTTTGAATGATGTATATGAGTTTGACCTCAGCCCCTTGACCCTTCTGCCACCGCCACAGGTGCAGGCTGCCATCAAGAAGAAGGTGGAGAAGCAGAAGAAGAGAACCAGCGAGCAGGGAGGGGGTGGTGTAGAGATCCAAATTGTTCCTCGCAGTAAGAAATCAGGTCAGATCCCACAAACGATGACAGAGCAGGACAGAGAATCGCTGGAGGAGAAGCTGGAGGAGATGATGGCGGGACCAAAGAGGAGCGAGAAGGAGAAAGAGGAGGCAGGGCCCGTCGACCTGCTACCCATAGTGGACTCTGTGTATGGACAGGTAGGACCCGTGCGCTGCGGACGAGTCATTAGTTCATTTGTGTGTCTCTGCAGAGGAATGTGTGTTTGCATGCTTGTGTGACTATATGAGTGTCTGACCCTTCTGCCACTCTGTGTGTGTTTCATGTCCTGTTTCATCAAGTTCTCCAGTTGATTTAATGTCCCAGCTTGATTGAAACCCTGAGCCTCCAGTTGTAATGTAAAGCCTGGCTGTGCTCCACTTTCTATAAATAGCTGTCTGTCCCACGCCCCTGGTCTCTTATGATGTCACATCGCAGAAGGGCATAAAGCTAAGTTCACCAGTAACACAAACATTAACCATTTAGCCTTCTTGTTTAACCCCTAATCATTCTAGAAATTGTGGAAAGCGCTGAAGTTAAGGATGAAGCTAGGATGTTTTGAGAGGACTTAAGCTTCTTTACTTTAGGAATCATTAGGAAAGTGTAATCTGTAAACAGATACGTCCATAGTCAGCCAGAGAGCTGATGAACACCCTTTCTCTGCTGCCATTGTATCAGCTCAGTATCACATCCCATCACTCACATGCAAACAGTGACACATGACACGGCTCAGCAGGCTATATCGTTACAGCATCTTTCACCCTGGGGTAAGACATGTTGGATCGTGGTGTGTTTGTGTGTGTGTATAAAACAAAAAAATCAAAAGACATTGCTCAGAAGTTTAAATCCTACTCGCTTCCTGCTGCTGACTTCAGCATGGCTTATGAGTCACTCTGGATTTCTGCTTTGAAGAAAGAGTCACATCCACCTAATCACGTCAGCAAACTCTGAAGGGGGTGATGATGAGCAAGACTGAGGTTAGAAACAGAAAGTCAATAAAACAAAACAAAAAAAGAAAAAGATTAAATTCTCAGTCAGCGGTGATGCTAGTGTTCCAAATTAAGAGAGAACGGCTGAGTGAGTGGGTGAGAAGACTGCGTCTGTGAAGTCTGGAGAGAAGAGACCATTTATCTCCTTGTTTCACTGTTGGGCTCCTGAATCTCATTTTGACAACCAGTGCATTATAGCATGAAACTTGTGCATGTGTTATTCAGAGACCCTCCTCCCCCACACACTGACCTGGACCAGAAGGTGCTCAGAAAAGCTTGTCCAAACTCATCGTCTTAGAATGGTACTTCACTCGACATTCACAGTTGCACATATCATACATCAAAACTAAACTGGCAACCATTTGATAGGTCTGTCATTTTCTAAATATTTCCTAATAATTTTCTAGACAGTTTTCTGAACGTAGCCATGTAATATGTTGTTTTAGCTAGGATTTAAAAGAGGTGTAAAATAACTAAATACTTCTACTCAAGTGCTCTACAATTTACAAATATTTTTACTTGAGTATGTCTATTCTACTGTAGGTTATGTTTCTACTCCACAGCACAGAAGGAAATGTTTTACTCAGCTACATCTGTAGACATGGGTCTACATTTGTTTAATAGCAATAGTAGCCATTTGAGTTTTGGCTTTGTTCTCAGACTTTAAAGTTAACTTTTAGGTGCAGGACTATTACTTGTACTGAATTCATGTTAAATTGTAGTATGCTTGCAAAATACTGTAAGAGAAGGAAGCAAAGTATTACTGATTCCCAGTACAATGCCCTTAGAACAATTTCATTTAAAATTTATTATATATTCATTATAGGCGGGCAATTTTCACATTGTTGCATGTTCAGCTGACCTGCTGTGCACTCACAGAAACTCCACCTGCAATTGCTGTGATTGGAGCCAACTATTTGGAAACACGCAATTTAATCTGTATTCTACCTGTTGTTATATAGAACTATGTAATATATATATATTACATAGTTCTATTAAATTGTTAAGAAATTGCAGCTCCTGTAAAGTTTGAGAGCTTTCTGCTTCCTGTCTTCCATACTCCGTCTATTGTTTCTCACCGAGTTTTCCTCTGACTGACGGCTCCAGTTACTGGACACCAGCTCACGTACATCTGACACCAGATCAGTATACGATATGTCTGCTGGTTTACGTGCTCACGCACAAGTTCATCCCAAAGTCCAGAACAAAGAACAGTCACATTTCCTGTGTGTTGACCATCTCTCTCTCTGTCTCTCACACACATATACACAATGTATTGTTAGTTTTGTGTGTGATAAAATCAAACTACAACTGCTAGTGTGACTGTAATTAAATGCTAATACAATAGAAACATTAGCAAAACAGAAGCCTGTGTGCACAGACACACAGCAGGGGAACGGCGGCATCTCATTTGCATGATGAACTGAAACCATCAGTATGTGAGTATCAGTAACTAATCAGGGTTAATGATATTGGTTGTGTCCTGGGTTATTCATGCAGTTGTCAGTGTCAGTTTGGTCTAATATACACAGGATCACACAGGATTTTTAAAGATACATTAATCTTATTCTACCTAACAACAATTCACCATTCAAACAGTCCTTTTCTACTTAACATGTCTACTTTCATTTTATTTTTCTTAAGCTGCACATCATTCAGTGAAGGCTCAGTGTGTCTGGGGGTTCTACTAAAAATAGAAACAGCACCATGACAGTCTGTGGTTTTTACTGCCCCAGCTGGCAGATAACACCCATTTACGTGACCTGTCTTAAAGCGACCTCTAGTGGTGACTGCTGCTCAGTACAATAAAAACAGAAAACGTTTTATAGTTATGTTTCACCTTATGGTTTTTTGACACTGTAATCCAAAAAAGATTAAAAACAACTCGGTATCCTTAAAGCTCATAGAAGTAGGTTTCACAAAGTTACACCATCACTTAGCAAACCACACAAGTCAGCACATGAACAGCCATTTTTCTAAAAAACCTGGAAACTACACATGCTTTGACAATCCCTTATGCCATTTTCCAATAAAGTAAAGCATTATCCACATGGTGTATATTATAGTACAGTACATGCAGCGATGTACAGAGTGTGTCAGGTTTTGAGAACATTAAGAGCTGAAATCTGATCTGTGATGGATAACACACACACCCCCACACACACAGGCTGTGCTCTCCATATGGGTGTACTGTAGTAGTTAGGATGCCAAATCACCTTTTGGAGAGCTCTGCTGAACACTAGCTCAGCTGACCACTTGCACTCGTGACCACAACTTGTGATTTTAATGCTGGCATCGTTTCAGATAACTTGACAATTTGGCCAAATGAAGTCTTGGATGTGAGAAGTTTTAGAGTTTACACCATGTTGGACATGGAGACAGTACAGTACAGTACTCTGAGAGTTTAAATTGCTATTTAAACAGTTTAACAATTCTAATTCACCAAATTAACACCTTAAAATGACTTTAAAGTGACATTTCTCATTTAGTGTGTCTCCACTTTTGGTATTATATTAACTTAATGTATATATCAGCTACTGTACCACCATTTTGGAGCGTTTATGGTCTATATTAGGGCACATTGAATTAACAAATCTTGTTTAATCCAAGAGTTTATTGATTATATTTACAAGCATGCACAGAAATATTTTTTGTTCACACCATTTTCAACTGAAACTATGTTATTTTATTTATATTTCTCACTTATTAGTAATTTATTTCTGTGTTGTTTTGACCACTTTTGATCAATGTGCACCCATGTCCTGACAAATGTATGTGTGTGCTGTATGGATGATTTTCCTGTGTGTTGCTGCAGTGATGTTGCTTTAACTCTGTTTGCACTTCTGTTTTATGCCAAACAAGCTTTCTAAATGTTTTCAACATGAGTGTTCAGGGAGTTTTTCAGAAGTTCACATATGAACCGTTTCCTTTCAACAGGACAGAGAGCTTCGGCCAGAGGAGCTTGATGGTGAGATCATTTACAGAAACCTATCTACAGCAAACCACAGTGTGTTTCTGCTTTTCTCTCTTTATATGACGGCTTGACTTACATATGTTATTGTGTGTATTCATCAGAGCTTCGTGAGGTGTTTATGGAGTTTGATAAGCGCAAAGATGGCTTCATCCGTCATAGAGACCTGGGGGAGTGCATGAGGACCATGGGGTACATGCCTACAGAGATGGAGCTCATCGAGCTGAGCCAGCAGATTGGTGAGTGGAACAACAGCCTGAAACATGTGGGAGAACAGGAACAAGAGCAGGGAAGAGAATAGAATATAAAAACAAACAAAAATGAGAAGAAGAAGAGCAGAAACAGAACAGAAACAAAGCAGGACAGGAACAAGAACAGTAGAGAACTGACCAGAAAGTTAATCTTTCATCTTGTTTATACTGTTTATTTTGTTATACTACACAGCCTTATGTTGGTTTATTGTGTACCAGAGTCAAATTCCTCGTGTCCAACACACCTGACCAATAAAGCTGATTCTGAAGTTGAAAGCATAATATTCTTGGAAGTCAGTGAAACTACATGAATGATTATTTACTGGTAATACAACTGATTTACAGCCGTTTCCTGAGCTTTTACTGGAGTAGTTTCATGGAGAAACATCTAGCATTACGGTCATTCTGATATAACTTTGTGTACCTTCTGTAGGCAGTAAAATGGACTTTGAGGACTTTGTGCAGCTGATGGGACCCAAGATGCTGGCAGAGACAGCAGACATGATCGGAGTCAAAGAACTACGAGATGCATTCAAAGAGGTCAGGATATAGATGGATAGGTTTTGGACAAGGAAGGGAAAAAAAAGCTCAAACTAGTGTATTCCCTAAACCATCCTATTGTGTTCAATTGGGCAGAAAAAAAAACAAGATATGATTAAATTTAGATGCAATGTGGCCCTAAACGCCTCATTCTTTCCTTCTCTCTGTGTACAGTTTGACTCTAACGGTGACGGTCTGATCAGTTTAACGGAGCTACGTGAGGCCATGAAGAAGCTAATGGGAGAACAGGTGACCAACAGAGAGATCAACGAGATCCTCCAAGATGTCGACCTCAACAAAGACGGTCTGGTGGACTTTGAGGGTAAGAGTGGTTCTCTCTACTCTTATGGGATCTGTTAAATGACCACATTAAACCTCACGGTCTTCCCTGTGCCTCCTTTCAGAGTTTGTGCGAATGATGTCCCGCTGACCGGTCCAGCTGCCCGGACAGACAATATGCAACTGCTAGAAAAGAAAGCACACAGCACTTGAACATTCTTCAGCTGCTCTTAAAACACATATGAAATTATATTTTTATATGAAATAAAGAAAAAATTCATTTAAAAAAAATCCACAAATCCCCATGAGCCTCCAACCGACATGAGTGTCCACATCTGAACTGCACATGAGCAGCTCTGAAACATATCAAAAGCTTAATAGAAAACCTTTATGATTTTGTGTTTTTAAATGTATTTTTATATATTCCTGTTTGTTCCTAGAGTGTAAAATGTTGTTTGTAAATCTGGACCATTATTTTTAATTAAAGAAGTTTACAAAAAAATCCACAAATGGTCAATGTGTAAATCCATTTGGAGTTTGTAACATTAATAATATACAGCACATTGGCAGTCAAATGGTTTGTTATAGGAAAAGCAATGGTATAAGAGATGCAAAGGAAGCTGGTGGGATTTGATTATGGTGAACTCTTACTGAGCCAAATCCCTGCTGGAGTGAACAGCTTTTACTTTAACTCCAGGGCTAATGTTAGCATTTGTGTGCTACTATTAAAACTCATCTTGTTTTTAATCATAATATTATTATTAGTAAAATTGTTTTTATTTATTTAAAATATTTATATTAAACCTCACGGCCCCCGCGACCCGGTCCCGGATAAGCGGAGGAAAATGGATGGAAGGAAAATATTTATATGAACACAGGTATCACACAAATAACACACTAGTGCACAAAACTTCTTGAAAGTTTTTAAGTCAAGCATGAAATGATGTTTGATGTCTGTCCATGAGCATTGCAGTCACACCTGATTCATCTCACATTTTTATTAACCTTATTATATTTGTCTGATTTGTTCATAGTTCATTCAAATGACTTTTCAGTAATAGCTTAGTAACAACATCATCTTTGAAATCAAGATTTTCCTTTTTATTGAAAACTTGGTCAGGACTCTGTACAGCAGAGAGGGTGCCCAGTGCACTGGGGCCAGGGGGGGGCTAAGAGACTCAGTTTCCCATGGTGCATCATACCCTGAATTATGTGTGTAAAAGAACAAGAGGTGTTGTGCTCCCGCACCAGTGTCTCAGAGGACTATGGAAGGGGAATGAAGTGCGGAGCTAAAAAAAAAAATGGAGAAAAGGGGGAAAGCAAAGTGCAGCTCACAGGGGAGAAAGAGAAAAGTAGTGACAGAGAGGAATGGAGGGTGGTCTGCTGGGTTTGGTGGTCCAGCTAGTCCTTCCACTGAGGTGTTGTCTCCAGTGAGGGGCAGATCTAGATCCTCACCCTTTCCTTCACTGCATTAGATCATAGACCATTTAAGGTACTGAGGTAAAGGCCTCAGATATCTCTCCCCCTTTCCCTCTTCTTCCGCCCCTCTCCCTCACTTCCAGTCTTTCTCTTTCTCTCCTTCCCCAAACCTCACTTGCTGGTCACGTTGTAGCGGCCCTGTGGGTGCCACTGCATATCACGGATACGCCTCACTGACTGGAACTGAGGGTGGCGGGCACCGTACTCATTGAAGTGCCTGTAGTCACCCTTCTCTAGCAGATACTGGCTCCCACGGTATCCAGGGAACTGGTATCCCACCCAGCTGGGGAAAAATTGATACACATGTCAGGATAGGATTGATTTTATGTATCTTTTTTGTATCATCAGTGATACAGCAGAAGAAGCTCACGTTCCACAGCTGACAATAATGCTGCCCACTCTATCCGTGAAGCCATAGGAGAACAGACTGGGAACGTCATCGTCCATGATCTCCATCTTGCGGCCCTTGAACTCTCCCACCTCATAAAGGCAGATCTTGTGCTTGTCTGGGTCCTGTAAGAGGAAAAACAAACAAACAGGAAGAAGCACAAGGTTAGAGAAGAGTCTAAAGTAAAAGAGAAAGGAAGACTTGAAAGAGGAGTGAAATGGAGCCATTAAGATGTTTTTGTTACCATTCTCACGGGCCTGAAGGACAGCAGGTAGTTGTTCTTCTGGCAGTTGCTCCAGGAGTCCCAGCGAGGGTACTCTCCCTTCTCTAGGATGTACATCTCACCACAGAAGTTCATCTGCTCAAAACCTACGAAGCTGCAGATGAGGCAATATTATGAAAGTCATGCAAACCCACTGACTTAAAATGTGAAAATGCATATTTGTGTATATTTTGTGAGACTTACGGTCCACACTCAACACGCAGGGAACGCACATGGTCCATGCCCATCTCACATATATTCATGCACTCATTGCTGATCTCGATCATGCGACCCTGGAAGTTCTCCTGGTCAAACACGTACATCTGGAGGGGACAGATGAGTCAGTATGACAATAGTAAAATACACTTCTATCTCTGTGTAAAGCAGGAGTCCAGTTTGGGTGGCACCACCTTGTAGGACATCATTCCCATCTCAGACTTCTTGCTCTGAGCAATCGTCCCGTCAGTCTGGGAAGAAGTCTTGGACTTTTCTCCACTGGACATGATTACTGGGTAGAAAGAGAGGAAACAACTCTGGGAGAGCAACATAATGATGTGACAAGTCTCAACTGTGTTGGCTGATCTCAAGAAAACAGAAGAGTATAAAGATGAATCTGTTTTCAGTCGAACCATCTTGCTTTGTAGCGCCACACAAATGCAGACAGTCCATGTGTCTTACCAGTCTGTGTGTGCGATGAGCCTCACTCAGAGTGTGTGCAGCTCAGCGTGCGCCCCTCCCTTTTATACACTGGCGCCTACAGGAGAGGGATTATGGGGACAGAAACAAACTTGCTGAGGTCAGAGACGAGAGACAAAAGAAAATCCACATCATCAGAGGGGGACGGACAGAGGGGATGGCAGGAGGCAGCATGAGACTGACAGAGACTGGAGACTGAAGACCAGTTACTAATAAAAGGTTATGTTCCTGAAATCAGCTTTTAAAAGTTGTTAGAGTAAATTAAACTGTAATAATTTAGGTCTTTTAGTTTAGATTGTTTATTCTTCTGTCACTGTGTCAATCTGCTTATTTCTAATATACTATAAATCAGTATTTAGGATTGACTGCATTCAGTAACTTGGATTATTGGATGATGGCTGTGGGAATGTGTGGCTTTAAACCTGAGGCTGCAGATAAGGTGGCTAGAGTTTACTGTAATTTAATAGAAATGTTTCCAGATAATGTCAAAATGAAATGCTTCCTTTAACATTTCATCTCTGAGACCATATTTTTTGTACTTAAGTAACATTTTGAATGCAGGACTTTTATTTGTAACACAGTGCTTCTACAATGTGGTATTGCTACTTTAACTTAAGTATGGGATGTGAGTACTTCTTCCACCACTGCACAGATGTACCTGCACCCTTGTGTGTGCAAGAGATCCCATCATGTGAAAACTGCTACTGCTACTTCACATTCACCCAGACCCCTCCCCAGTCACTGCTCCACGGTTAATCCCCACATTCTCCTCCCCGATCCCGGCCTTTTGTGTCTGGCATGGGCTGCACTGCTGACCGGAGCGCTTTTGTTTCAGAGCCCCAGCAGCACTGTAGGATCTGCTGAGCTGGCAGTTGGAGCAGTACAACAGCATTCACGCACCACGCAGAGACGCCGGGAGCGCGCCTCGCTGCAGCTGTACCAAATGGACGGTGTGCATGGCTCAAGCCAGAAGAGTGGATGCGCACTAACATGCGCTTCAGTATAAAACTGAGGCGCCAGGTTCTCTGAAAGCTCTATGTGAGGCAGTTGGTAGGCGCGTACCAGTCCCGAGCTCTTCCAATAAAGTGCCAATCTAGGTAAGGCTGCATCTCGACTTACAACTCAGCTCAAGGTCAGGCAGACAGGTGCACTGCAGGTGCTTCATACAGAAAGTGAAAACCAAAAGCACTTTCTAACACTTTATGAGACTTTTAATTCCATATTAGACTTCTACTCGATTTGATTTTTATGTTTTACCAGAGGGAAGCGTTGTCCCATTTAGGTTCAGTTTAAAAGTTTAGTGAAGTTTAGCTGACAAAATATTAGAGATAAATAAAAACTAAGGAAGTGGCGCTGTGAACACCATGTGCTTAAAAATAATTTGGAAAATCATGCCAGACAGGTTATCATTTTGTTTAATGATTGACTGATGAATGAGACCCTGAGGGAAATCTCCTCCCCTGCCTCCTTCTCTCTCTGTCCTCATGTGCCACCTCAGGAATAAAGATGTACAGAACTACAAGATCGCCAATGATGCAGCCACTGCTCAACTCAGGAATGGGCATGGCTCCTTTCTTCAAGGTAAACACTTGACAAACAAGCTTCCTATGTTGTTAAAACTGGATCGGGTGGAGCCGAAAGCCTGTATGAATTATATCTACATGTTCTGTCAGCTCCTGCTTGATGCACACAGTTAAAGAAATTATGTTTGCTCTGTACTGCTGATTAATTTCCCTGCTCCTCCCTTGCTCTGTCTCCTCAGGTGACTGTGTTTGAGCAGGAGCATTTCCAGGGCAAGTGCCTGGAGTTCACCTCTGAGTGCTGCAACATCCAGGAGTGTGGACTGGACAACATCCGCTCCATCAGGGTGGAGAGTGGAGCGTAAGTCTCAGAGTCACAAACTGTCTCATGTAACAAGACAAAAAAAAAAGAGACCTAGTTTGCTAATTCTACAAAATGTTAGGGGCACTTACCTGAAAAATCTTGTGTCCAGGAGATAAAGAGGAGACGCATGCTTTAAGCACTGTGACAGCTGAAATGTCACCATCTTTCTGTTTCTCTCTCTCTGTGAAGCTGGGTGGGGTTCGAGCACCATGACTTCCAGGGCCAGCAGTTCATCCTGGAGAGAGGAGAGTACCCCCACTGGGACGCCTACAGCGGTTCCCTCTCCTACCACGTGGAGCGCCTCATGTCTCTGCGCCCCATCTACTGCGCCGTGAGTACATCCCTCTCTTCAGTGTTCAGGTGACAATTATCTCAGAAATCTAAACTCAAAAAAGCGAAAAACTCTCCTCTAAAGTCCCACCAGAGCAGTCGCATGATCATCTTTGAGAAGGAGAACTTCGTGGGCCGCAGCGTGGAGATCTGTGATGACTACCCCTCTCTGCAGGCCATGGGCTGGATGATGCCTGAAGTCGGGTCCATGCATGTGCAGTGCGGCGCGTAAGTTATCATGGATTTCTCTGTTTAGTGGAATAATGGGATCCTTATCTGCAAAAGTGAAACCCATTTCTCTATAAAAGCTCCTCCAAGTGA